CACATTTGGTCTCCGACTATTTATTTAGAGATTCTTGATAAAATCGAAATTAGAACTGTTAGTTCTGACCTGGTATCTCGTCTACAGTCACTTTCCCACCACCGGAAAGTGGCCTTCTCTATAAATACTTTCATGGTAACCGTTTGGATATTCCCCTCCTCCACGCACATGAATTGTACATGCGGGAACTAGTTATGATTTTCATAGAGACATTGAGGTATTATGGTAGATGTTGTAAGAATGGTAAGTAAGAATGCGTTTTAATCCAAGGAATATTATAGTATGTTTAGATCAGGGATCATGGCTAGCTAAGTTTAATTTTAACCCATATGTAGTGGGAGGAGAGGTAGATTCATACCTTTGCTAAGGGTATTTGCGCGTAAGTGAATAAACGAACCCAACTGGAATTGGAACTCGGCTATCTGATTAGCAATACTGAGCTATTACTCATTACAACACCCATACATCCAAGATTACAGCACCTGATAGTCCCAAGCGGTCACTTATCCAGGTACTGACCAGGCTCGACGTTGCTTAACTTCGTGTTTCAACTTGATGTCGCCGTAAACCTTATGATGTTATTGACTGAAAGGACATCAGAATCTTGCTGCGTTTGTAAATGCGTGCAAGCAACTCACGGATGTTGTTCGTTCGCAATTATTTATTTTTATTTTCCACTGTAAATTATTTGATTAGTGGTTGTTTGCTTTCTGCAGCGTTGCGGGAAGCAGAGGCGAAGAATGAAAATAATATTTGTTTCGCGCTTGTAATGTCGCCAGTCATTTTATATGAAGTCTACACTGTTATATTTCCGTTACGAGCCACGCATGCGCACTGAAGTCATTAAATAATCCAATAGACATATATATTCACTGCTCAAAGTAAATGTCGCTTAAAGACCATGACTTTCGTATATTAAATAAAGATGTCATATTTTTCATAACGTAAAAATGAGAGAAGTCTCAGGTGTTTTCATATGTTGAGAAGATGAGTTTTATTTTGTATCAATGTTTCACATTATTGGAATTTTCAACACGCGCTTATACTTAATTTCACGCAACCACGTAGCGATTCTCACTCACTCTCTTTCACACGCATGCGCGCAAACACACGCCTGAGCTAATACCATAAATCTACAAAAAATTATAATTTTTTGTATAAACATTGCTTGTCTTGTCATGAGAAATGGCTGTATTGGTAATGAACGGCTCAAAATGAATAAACCGCCGCCAGCATGTAAGCATGCAACTGAAATTTCTTTAATCTAAATTAGTTGATTAGTTACTAAGAAGAATTAATCAAACTATAATTAACATAAAGACTGATAATTGTTTGTAGATATATATATTTTATACATAAATTTTTTTAAAAATATAAATTGAAGACAGACATTCTGTTAAAATATTGTTTAACATTGTCAAACAGAGTGTTCTTTCTTTTTTATCTCTTCTTAAATCGCGCTCTTCTCTTAAATTACTACTACTACTACTACTACTACTACTACTAATAATAATAATAATAATGGACGACGATGGTTAATAGCTTCTGCTAGTGAATTATCCAGGCATCACTCTTCAGTATTCAGTTCAACTGAGAGACGTTAACTCCAGCAGATTGCAGGCCAAAGCTGTATACTGGATGTAGCTACTTATATTATATCCAATGTGGTGATCGTACGACATCGCTGGGAGGAGGGCTGTCGACACTAAAGTCAACGCCTAGAGTTTTCCCTACCGCGATGTAATCAAAACTTTCACATTTGTCAAAAGGATAGCCTCTTTGAAATCAAACACTCAGAGATACGTCAGCATTTTCACGCGAAAAACCTTCCACCTAAAACACAGATATCACTTTTCATTTTAATATCAGCTTATTTTATATTTGTTTTAGGAATACATTTTTAGTATACACTATACACCAATACCAGTATATCTACGATGAGATTTTAAAAGATTAACATTTTTAGAAATTTCTTCAATCTTTATGGCTTCCGTTTCTAATCTATAATGTACATATACAGTTTTCCATATATTTCTTTTAAAACCGTCATTAATAAAGGTAATTTTTCGAGTTTTAAAACTGAAGCCAAAGTTTTTCACACTCAAAAATCATAGAAGAAAATTAAATTTTGATAACTTTACGCCAATTCGTGTTTTCATTTCAGTCCAGAAACAAAACATAAAAAAATCGAACCATATTTTTCGTGTATCACTCAAAGGAGAGAGAAAGTAAAAATAAAAAATAAAAAATTTCAACCATAAACTAATTTCAACTCTGAAGATTTCAATAAATGTTCAAAGTAGTATCAAGGAAGCTGAGATGGGATTTGAAAAGAATTTCAAAAATGCGATTTCTTTGATGATTACGATATATGTGCACGAAGTATGAAAGTGGGGGTAGAAATATTCAAAATAAAAAAGATTCAATTTCTTTCAAAGAGTCTCTAGTAATTAATACTACGGACTCTGAAAGAAATTGAATCTGTTTTATTTTGAACATGATAATGTTGATATGTTTATAATATAATCCATATCGTGTCATATTTACATGATTTGCAATATAGTACACTCATACGCACAAAAATTCGTTTGATTCTGTCACTGTTTCTCCTGTTATCGACCCTATTTAGCATTAATACTACCACTGAACCTGCAACATATTTACCAAAATATATGTCGCCGACCTGAATATATGCAGCAGCTGCTGTTGCTTGTAATGTTGAAGCATTGCATTTTAAATTATTCAAGAGTAGATGGATCGCATTGAGATTTACAATTATTTGATTGTGAATCTGAATCTCGTTATTTGTAGCTATTTTATAATGTTGCCTGTTAGCGTTTTACTCATGATTTGTTGTTGATACAGATATATACTTACGCCTATATAGGTTAATATATACTTAATTGGTATGCACAAATACACACGTATATAGAAACACACAGACACAGCCTTCCCCTTTATATATATATATATATATATATATATATATATAGATAGATAGATAGATAGATAGATAGATAGATAGATAGATAATATTAGTGGTAAATATGCACATACATATGCAAAATATATAAATATATATTACATATGCAAAATATATAAATATATATATAAATTTTGAATTTGTACGTCTGATGAATTGGATCGTCATTACGATTCCAATGGAATAAATTATGACCATGTAATATTAGTGTTTAAGCCTTTTATTATATATATATATATATATATATATATATATATATATATATATACTGGACTCCCTTGTCGTTTTCGATCTATGAGGGCGAACGTATGATGGTCAGTTCTTGGAATCAACAGCTAGACTAGCCGCTCATATCATTTGATTATAGTGGTTAAGGCTTGTGCAGAACGAACCACAGTTTTTGGAAGAACCAAATACAGAGAACTGGTGAACAGTATGTCTCCGCAAACTACCCCCAGAAGGTATGGAATTCAGAGTTGTCCTTCTCTTAGATCGGTCGCCAACCAAGGCTATAGAACCCAGTCAGTCCTGCTATGGGGTGGAGAAGAGATAGATTCATACCTCTCCCATTACATTCACGTAAATGAATGTAATGAACTCGGTTGGAATTCTAACTCGGCTCTCCTATCCCCCAATCAGATATATATATATATATATATATATATATATATATATATATATATATATATATATATATATATATATATATATATATATATATATATATATATATATATATATATAATTAATCGGATGACTTGATGTAAGTAATAATCTATCTCGTGCCTCTTTGATGCTGTTCGCCTCATCGATTGATTGGTTCCGTCACCAACACACTTAAATCTCTGACATTCTTCTATTAGTCTTGCGAATGGTGTCATTCGTGTGCATTTATGGTGGCGTGAATTGACAGAAATAAACAGGGTCTTGCGTGTTTCATTCCGCTTCAAGCGAACAGTACATTTCAAAGGAGTTTTAAAGCGCATTACCCGATGCAAATGACAGGTGACAAGACCAAATCTATTCAAATCTGTGCTTTCCGCTTGACCTTCTGCTCTCACGATAATTCCAAGTTTTCCAAATTGTATCTGTAGTAAATGGGAGTTCAATCCCTCGGCCGAACAGTGTGTACTTGCACTCAGTGGAAACTGGGCGAGCAATAACTGGACAGTTATTGAACAATAAGAACTAAAAGAAATAGCCCTAGACGTAGGCAGTGGACGGATAACAGTCTCACCCCGTAGATTAAATAAAGAGTTCAGTTGAATTTTCCTCTAGGTTACCGAGATCGATTTAGATCTGATGAAGGCAGGGATTGCACAAGTGCTGAAGCGTTATGATATCAATAATCTGAATGTTACTCGTGTAAATAATGACAATGTCACATCTTTGAAATTCAGAAAAAAAAATAACAGTTAATGCAATTTAATTTTTATTTACGATTAAAAAAATATATATTGTCAAGGGTCAGAACAAATATCCAACTTCAATAGGGAAACAATTTATTGAGTGAGGGGTGGGAAATGTTAGAATTTGCGAAAAGTTAAACAGAGATTATAAACCAATCCCTATGAAATGGAAAACATTGGCAAAATAACAGAATTGGTTGATCTATTAATTTTTTACGCCTCATTAACTCTTTTCAGGTTATTTAAAGCCGGGGGTTATTTTTAGATTGTAAGAATTTTTTTAGAGATAATAATGATTTACTGATATAAGCCGTTCTAATTAACCCATAGCTGGTGTGAGAAGAGGTGGATTCATATCTTCCACAATGGTATTTACGCCTAAGTGAATATAACGAACTGGACTGGAATTGGAACTCGGCTCTCCGATTTGTAATTCCGAGCCGTTATCCATAACAACACCTACACATCCAAGCTTACAGCATTTGGTATTTTCAAGCAGTCAGCAATCTAATAATGACCAGGCTTGACGTTGCTTAACTTCAGTGATGGAGCGAGAACAGGCGTTTCAACGTGAGATGACCGTATGCCTTACCACACGCGCATCGAAGCTTACAGCACTTGGTATTCCCAAGCGGTCACCCAATTCGGTACTGACCAAGTTCAACGTTGCTTAAATTCGGTAATCATATGAGAGCCGCTGTTTCAATGTGATATGGCCGTAAGTCAAAATAACAGAAAAACTGACTTTGTCAGAAAAAAAATGAAAATATAAACCAAAATTGAAGAAAACTTGATGATTAACAAGAAAATATTTCAAGAAGTGGTTGTTGTGAATGTAAACAGTATAATGTTGCAGAATATTACGAATATTCATTAGACATGAAAACAATTCAGCTAGAATATGAAAAGAAACGTGCACGTTGGTCGAAAATGACATGTAAACTAATTTCTAGACAGTATTTCTTAATGATGGATTTAAAATAACATTGGATGGATTTGATGGCCGAAGCTTCAGGGAAATAGGCAAGCTTTTAGGCTAGTACTGTCGCTAGTCAAATTATAGGTTTCTTCCTTTAGAGTTGGTAACGCTACCAACATAAATGTAGATACTTTTGTAGGTATATGCAAGTTAATAGACAATCCCTTCCACTATGTTATAATAAACGAAACATTAAAATAAAGAGTATATTCATTCGGGCAATTCCCCGTCACATTCGGCACAGCTAAACATTTCCCACCGTTTGATACTATAGATAGAACATAGAGGTTGACGATGTAGTTTTATCTCGATCTCATGTGTTTGTTTTTGGTAGACCAACGGATGGGTCATTTTGGTTTCAAGTGTTTCTTTTTGATAGTCCAGCGGATGGGTCATTTTTCATCTCAAGTGTTTCTTTCTTTGATAGTCCAGCGGATGGGTCATTTTTCATCTCAAGTGTTTCTTTCTTTGATAGTCCAGCGGATGGGTCATTTTTCATCTCAAGTGTTTCTTTCTTTGATAGTCCAGCGGATGGGTCATTTTTCATCTCAAGTGTTTCTTTCTTTGATAGTCCAGCGGATGGGTCATTTTTCATCTCAAGTGTTTCTTTCTTTGATTCCAGCGGATGGGTCATTTTTCATCTCAAGTGTTTCTTTCTTTGATAGTCCAGCGGATGGGTCATTTTGGTCTCTTTTTGATAGACCAGGGGATGGGGCATAGTGAAGTTTCGTCTTCCACTTTCATCAAAGAGTACTGTAAAGTAAATTGGGGTTGGATTCTTGCAGTCTAAGTGGCAACAAAACCGGAAACAGTTTATATCCGGGTACTGCTTTATATTAACAGTGATACTTGGGATCTGGAAAGTTCTGGTTAGCCCTGGGCGGGAGACGAACCTATTGATATGGTCTTTCCGAAACCTCCACTTCTTATTTGCCAGCCACCCCGTTGGGATGAGTAGATGAGCGAGGAGCTGGTTCGGGGAAGAGCTGATATTATATAAGTTGTCCAATATTTCTTACCTACACACCCGGACGAGCAGACGAATCCCTTAATAAAACATCTATATATAAATATAAACAGGTTTGCGTTATTATTTTTCCGTTTTTCATTTCTTTCATCGTTTTATCTTGTGAGCATGCAGTGGGCACTTTTCAAGTTTCAGTAACCACCAACGTCTCGCAAATCGAAATGAAACATGGGGTGATTATTTGTCGATCGGACGGGAGATTGAGCAAGTGTCACGTTGTATCTTTGCAATCATGACAAACTTAGTGGAGTGGCACCTGGCCATTCTAGATATTAATCCAATAGTAAATAATATATGATAAATCATTAAAAGAAGTGTCTATGAGAACAGAAAACAATATTCAAAGATTTGTGAAAAACAATATAATGTTGAAACAGAAAAGGCCAATAGTTGAAAATTAAAAAATGTTATAAAATGCCAAATGGCTTGTATTAAGATGTAAAATGATAAATGCCATTATTATTTACAGTCTTACTGAGATGGTTAACAATATTGTAATTGAAAGAAGACAGTGTATATGGTCATAAGTGAAAGAAACAGAAGATGTGAAGTGCGAATCGGTGATGCTAAAATCAAAGAAGCACAGAAGATTAAATATCTGGAAAGTGTTTTAACAGATGACGGAAAATATAGAATCGAAATCCGAAGGCGTATTGGAATAGAGAAAGGGCTAAGCAAAGTATAAAGACAGGAAAATTTCGTTCTACATAAGGAAAAAATGGCTGAATTGCTATGGAATACCAATCCTATTATATGGCAGTAAATTATATATACCCCCCACCGCCAGAATTGAAGAAGAAATCTGAGATAACGAAGATGTGGTTCTTCTGAAGGATGTTAAGAATATAATGGATATGTCATGCGAATAACGAGGAAGTTTTAACGAAAATGTTAACAAAAATGAAATCAGAGAGTAACAGTTGAAATTTCTGATAAACATGATGATAAAAGTTAGATCAGAGAATTTGAACCCACAGGATATATTGAAGGGAAGAAAGAGAGAACGAGTAACCTACTTAGTATGATTGTCTAAATGGATGGCAGAAAAGATACTGGAAGGGATAATATTGTTAGAGTGAAACAAACCTTATAGTTAATAGACTCTCCCACCTAATATAAGTAGGAGCAGTAATAGAAACGGGGGTCAGTCAGTGAGTCGATGTCGGACGACAGTTAGTCGAATACGAGAGTATCAGTGACCACAATTAGATTACTCTGCGTCATACCTATTATATCAAGTTCCTAACGTTTTGTACGTCGAACCTATTTTAGGACCGACTTAGTACAAATACAAGCCTCCACTGCGAAATCACTCCACAACAAATATAAAACAAATATTACTAAGCGCTATAAAGACATAAAGTTGTAGAGAACCAAGATCGCTACGTTTCGAAGGATCACACTACACAGAAGAAGATATGAAATAAAACACAATCTGTTACGTAGATTACAAGAAGGGAATTGATAAGAAATGCAACAAAAAACAATATAAATACGAGAATAAATATTGATTTACTCGAGAAAGAATTCGTCTAACGTGTAACTATGAATGAGAGCAAGAAGTCTTCATGCAGATAGGAAATGTTTTCGGTGAATAAACAAAAATAGAATATGGTGTAAAACAATGTTCTGTTTTCTCAACGTATTTATTTAACTACTGTAGTGAGAGGATCCTAAGAAAACAAGAAGACATACCAGGATTTATCATTGGCAGACAAACTCTTAACAACATAAGAGACCCGGATGAATGTTTTGATGACAGAATTTAAACTGAGGTCGAAAGAACTCATAGACAGGCAAAGAAAGAAAAGAAAGGAAATGACCTGTAAGAAGACAGCATGCTGTCAGCAATAGGGACAGTTCAGGACATGAGTAACGTATTGGGGATATCCAAATCAAGCAAGTATAGAAATCTAACTTTACTACCAACAGACGACAGAAGATGTGACACGGAAATACGGTGATAGCAAAAGATGCATTTCAGAAACTAAGCAAAGTATTGAAGAAAAATAAGAAAATGTCATTAGAGACAGAGTTTTGGCTAATCTAATTTCCTATATGTCAGTGATTGCTAAATAATCTCCTGGCAGATGGAGAAGAGACCTGAATATGTTTAACTGATGAATATTGACAATACCATAGGCAATGACGTCATGAGCAATGACGTCATGAGCAATGACGTCATGAGCAATGAGGAAGTATTAAGGCAAATAAGAACTAGAAATGAATTATTAACAATCAGAAAGTGACAACTGAGAATTTTACGACAACAAACGTATTTCGCTATCATGTGGATTTTTAAAATATATATTATACTTTATTTTCCATATTTTTGCAACACAGGTTTCCGGTCTCGAGATCTTCATCCGGCAAAGAGTGGTTATTTCCACATATTATTAAAAGGAATTCATTTTTCTTGTTTTCCGATGTTTAACCATTGACTTTTGTCTGTAATAGTAACCCAAATGTTTTTCTTGGACTGGTGTCGAAAGTATTCTTCTGTTTAAGGGTTAATAAAAACAATTAGGACTGGTCAGAGGAAGGGCAAAAGAAAGGAGGTCTTCATTTTTGTCTTTTTATGATCCTTGTATCTTTGATCTATCTCCATTTTTGTGTATTGTCTAAACGTGTATGTTTTTGCGAGTGTGTGTAGAAATATTCCTTCGCCATACTTATATATTGTTTTATTATAAGGAATATATATATATATATATATATATATATATATATATATATATATATATATGGCGAAATGGGGTGAACCATAATTACAGATCTCTTGAAAATACATAATAGTAAAATGTTGGTAAGTTTGTAGTGATAATAATATATTGTACCGAATTTTACAGGTAGAAATAATCAGCGGTGTACTGCTGAAATAGTCGATTGATACTGCGGGGATAGAAGAAATTACTTAATGAAGACATCTATGTATAGACATATTATTCATTATTACTTTCAATGATATATTTTAGTGGATACGTGCCTGAGTAGACGCGACCTTTAAAAAATATTGTGTGAATTACATCGTCCGGTTTATGAATTCGAGAATATAAATAAAGAAAATGCGCACACAGACGAAACTCGAACCTGCGTCCCGGCATTGCATGGGAAATGGCCGTTTGCTTGATATCGCGGGGCTATAGACGGGTCAATAATCTATAAAGTTTCAATGACCCTATTAGGGAGAACTCGTCTCTTTCAGATCTCCTCGAAAGTTCATATCTACTTAAAATTCCCAAACGTAAAAACATTCTAAGGAATTAATGGAATTTATTTTTAATCGGACATTTTTCTAATGATTTTAAACGTCATATTTTAGTGGAAAAAAGATCCAGTTAATTATATTTCCCATCTCATCTGTATGCTTAAATCCATTGGCTTGCTTTCCACATCAGCTGATATGAACAATTTTAAATGTAATCTTTGGGTTTATCGCTGATGGAAATATTTCTCGTTTGTATATTTAACAGCAACCATGTAAATGTCGCCTGAAATAAGTCGATGGCTTAATATTCAAACGTAATTATTGGATGTTATTTTCAAATTTTGACATCTCGCTATTCTAGCTTGTTGATTTCATTCTGTTTCTATTCTGATTTCATATGGCGTCGTTTACTGAAGAGAATGTCGCAATACTTATTACCGTAGAATTGATGGAATGGCGCTCCTTTCATCTTATTTTTCTAGTCTTATGTTATTTTATATTTAAAAACTTGTTATTTTTCTTCTTCTTCTTCATATGTTATTCCCAAAAGAACCAATTGGATATTAAATACAGCGACAAATTGCCGTTGTTTTTCTTAAACATCTTTGGTAAATTATCTTTCCGTACCCACGTTCATTTTCATCAAATTTTCTGTCACCACAAAGAATGAAATCATAAAAATAAGCCCATGAAATGTTGTAGTTTTCTTATTTATTGTATGAAACCGTGGAAGTAATTGTATTCGTTGTAGAGTTTGTGCCGAACACTGTTTATTTTTTTTAACCCTCTAGAAATTGTACGATACATTCATAAACAGGAGCTTAAACTGGTTTGAACGAATTCGTATGCATTTAAATCGGATAGAATTTCAGGCGTAAAAATATAAGAAATTCAACCTGCTCTTCGGTGTGATGTTCATTTCTGTGACTTCTAGCAAAGGAGTAATAAGTATAAACGTAGACCCGTAAACTTTCAAAGGAATAGTTTATTTAAAAGCCCAAGACAACCTAAGAAATTGGATGAATTGCATTAAAACATAGAGCAATAAAATCCAAATTCATTTTGTGTGATTCACACAAAGTTTTGAATCATAATGTTTTTAACTTGAAACTTTCTCTCAAGTCTCTTACTATTGAGTATCGAAAATGCTTCTATTTTTACAGATAATCGTGTCCTACAATTTTTATTAGCGAACTTCAGTTTAATTTTATCTCTGATAGGTATTGTTGATAAATCCTAACAAATCCTAGCCTTAAAAACAATGGTTTTCATGTTATTTGGTTGTTTTTGAAGTAATAACCTTTTGTCTAACTAGCATTTATTTCTCTTGTACATAAAACTTAAATTATAACATAAACTGATAAGAAGGTGCATTTATGGATGTTATGGCTATTAGTGCTGGGTTGATTCTTTCACCTAAACATCCAAAAACTTGTTGAATT